AAAAACAATTCTTGGATTGATCCATATTTGGAAAAAAAAACTTTGTTGTGTTCAAAATTTTAATTTAAATATTTCTATTGTTATTAGTTTTGAACAAATAAAAACAGTTCTAAAATAACACAGATTAATATATCGATCAACAGAAAATATTAGATAATTTGTATTGATCAACTAAAATATTAAAAATAAGTTAAAACTTAATAATTATTATACTAACATCACATTTGTTATAGCCACAATTAAATATTCAATAAACTCGTTTGATATTGTTTGTTAATAATCACAAGTACTTCACTTGTTTTGTCCAATCATAATCGATCGTGTCTAAAGACTTTATATTTACGGTTAATATTAAATCAAATACAAGAGAAGATTTTTTAAAAAGAGTTACTGATCAAAAAATAAACGGAAAAAAGAAATCGTTGGAATTAGTTTAAGTACTTGTTTTTGGTATATAGACTTCATCTTTATTATACGACCGATATGTTATTCATGGAGATTCAGAATTACTTATTTGATGGACAATGCAGTACTTTTACAAATTTGAAAGAAAAATTATTAATTATGCATATAACCACGAGATCTTTTTATATATATATATTTTTTTCACTCACACAAAACTAAAAATCACTTTATACCAAATCGTCTATATTGAAATTACTTTAGTTGCAAAGATAAATGCATTTTTTCTGTATATATTTTTTAATTATATAATTCAACTGCTTAATAAATCAGGATAATATATAATACTTCTTCTGTTTTATAATACAAAACGTTTTGGAGAAACTTTTTTTATTTCATAATAGAAAATGTTTTCAAATTTTATGCAAATTATAGATTAATTTTAACACTTTATGATTATTTATGATACAATATCTTTTATGATTTAGCAAAATTATTAAAAATGAATATATTTTAAATCTGTATTCTTTTAGCTAAAATATAACATATTTTGAAAAAAGAGTATTAAAGAAAAACTGGGTAACCACTAAGGAGTGACTAGAAAAACGGCCAAGTAAATCAGTTGATCTTAGGCATGTACGTTGATTACTTTAAAGTCTTATGTTCATGAAAAGTCTTGTTCGTTGTAGTCTTCTAGACCAAACAAACAACCTGTTATTCTTTTTATTTGTTAACGTACCTTAACGTACGTTAAGTTACCTGTCACCACGAAACTCTTAAAAACATACTTTAAAAACAACTTTTAATAAAACTATTGATCAACGTATCAGCTTGCGCCACCTCGCCATCTCTCACGCCGACATGGAATGGATCAAACGCCAAGTGTTGTTTACTAGTAGGGTACACGTTGCCGACAGGAATGGATATTTTGCCCAAAAGATTAGGCGACAGGAAGGGAACTTTTTCCTTCTCGCGAACCACGGGAGCGCCAAGCGTTGGTGGGGCGGATTAGGAATGCGAGGCCTTTACTTCGAAAGGAGACCCGCCCAAAATGTAAATTTTTGTTGTTGTTTCAAACATAATAGTATAAGAAAATACATTACGTTCTACGATTCCTACGATTCACTAAAAAGTATTTGCACCAATAACAAAATTTGAAGGAGTAGTAAAAAAATGAACAGCTCGTGTTTCATGTGTTATCATAAGGGAGATTTTCTTAGGCCTTTTAATATTTCTATATATACTTTTACTTTTAAGCGTAAACACAAATTTTGCGCTTTGCGCTTTTTAATTTGATTATGCAAATTTTCTAAATTGACAAACATTTTGCATAATCATATTAGAAAACGTTATGCTGTTATTATGCAATCACTAATCAGAACCTAAATTTTTTAAGTAATTTCAAAAGAAAAAAGTTAGGGTTTAAAGATAATTTATGTTCTTTACTTTTTAATCACTATAATTAGATTGCATGATGAAGTCTTTGGTTTAATATCGTTATACGTACTTCGAAAAATTTCTTACAAAATGGACATGTATGTTTTTTAATTAAACCAAAGGGTATCATTAATATTCCTACTATTATGCAATGTGCACATAATAGAAATGTTTTTTTTTTCTTTGTGTGTGTGAGTAATGGAGGCTTAAACTTGTAACAAAAATTACTAGAAAGATTTTATGATTTCCTATTTTTGACAAACATGATACAAACACGGGAATCCACCCAATGGTTTTATCAACGGAAGCAAATGTTTGAAGCTTTGATGGTCAACAAGCGATGATAGAGATAGGAAATGGAGGTTTTCTTGAATGAATCCACAATCAACACATAAATTAAACAACTTGAATCCACAAATTATTCAGCCCGCAAATCACATAAGAGAAGTGAATTCACACTCAACTTGAAATGACAAAACACAAGGACAATTCTTTGTAAACAAATTTAACGTTTATCGAGATAATTTCTAAAATGATGGATGAATGTTACAAGAGACGAAATGTGAGCTTATATAGGCTCTTCTAAAATGGTAGTATATCTGAAAGAATAAACAAATTGCAAAGAATAAAGGAATAGAGTCGTTGGAAGCTTGATTCTGCAATCGGCAAAATTAGGAAAGTTGTGATGCACCTTGAGTCTTGACAATTTGGGCTGGAAATGATGTGATTTTGGGACGTCATGATTAATTAAAAAAGCTTCTGGATGCGCAAAAGCTGATCAAAATATATATAGCCGTTTTGATTTAATCTCTTTTGGCTCTTTTGGTTCCGAAAAAGGAAAGTCTTGGTTCCGCGCGTTAACTAAGGTAGGATGCACCAAAGATTGAGTATGAATGATTATGAGTAGTGTAAAAGATCTCCAGGCTTCCATATATAGCTCTGGGACACACAAAAGGGAATAAAATGATAGGTTTTCTTAATTGGTACAAGCTAGTTTGATACAAAAAAAATACTTTAGGTAGTTTGTCAAGCAGTCCATCTAAAAATATATCAAACAGTCCATCAGCAAGTATATCAGCTTCCATTTTTACATCAAATTCATAATTCTTATTTTTATATACGTTGGACAATTCTAAAATGTACTAGATAAATTTTTTTTTTCCCGTCATTCCACAAAAAAAAATGTATGGCCCTCATTCCCCTAATTAATATTTAGCTCTGAGATTAGAAAGTTAGGAATCCTAACATAGTACAATAACACTTTACAAAGAAAAAAGCTTAGCACAGTAGCAATTCACTATATAAATCAACCTATTGTCCCATGACCACTTGTCACCATATTGGAAGTGGATATGCTCAAAATCATTGCAACAAACACAACTCAATTTAATTTAAGTTCTATAATATATCTATCTAATAAACATCCCCCTCCCCTAAAGAAAAAAAGTGAATGTCGTAAGCTTATGCCATGTACTATCAACGACTAAATTATGTTTGTTTCATAGTACGATCATCAACTAAATCATGTTTATTTTATAGTCATGACTATCATACATTACAGCGGTTAAATCGTATTCATTTTATAATTAGTGGTGAAATCAATAGGTTTCAACGATTGATCGCTAAATTAAATTTAAGACATTCAAATTTCTAAACAACTAAAACTTTTATCTTTAGTCACTAAAACATTTCGTCAAAAATTTCACTATAACTATCGATCATAAAAAAGAAAGTTAAATTTGTAACCGCAATCGCAGTCCGCTGACTATTATGAAACAAATAATCAAACGCCTGATTATTGCCGCTGGTCGACTGGTCGTCTTTCGTCTTGCCAGTAACAAACAGGGCCCGAACAATATGCCACGTAAAAAAATGGCTTCGAATTTACATCACAAGAGCATAAATGTGCCAGCATTACATCTATTTCCGTAACAAGCAAGTAAGCTTGTATGTGATCTTACCGGCCGGCCATAGCGTTATTAATTATCTTCATAACGTTGTATAGAGATAATAAAGTTGCGTACACGAAACTTGCTCCGATCCTATATAGTCGTATGGTTTTAGAATTAGCGCATAGGAGCTATATAAACCTTATATCAAGTTTCATCGCTGACCAAAACATTTATATCGTCGACTTTCTTTAATATTTTTTAAAGTAATTTTAAAATGCAAATGTTGACTGTAGACGGAAGATGTGGATGGAGTTCACATACTAGATCAATCAATTAAAAGTGTTGAAATACGCAAAATCCACCCTATTTAATCTTTAAGTTTTCTTACTTGGTTGAGTTGATTAAGCTATAATATTTTTAGGTAATCTCATAAAATCTTTAAATAGGAATTCTAAGCACATTATGTTTATTGCAAACGGATGTATCCATCGACTAGTAATGGATGTTAAAGTTTAAACTTGATTTTGATCATGCTTGTGACATGGGCCATTGATCTACATATACTGCATTTGCTGGGCCAGGCCTAGAATTATCAAAAATGACTTATGTCCAGTTTTTTACAAGTTCACAAATAACACTTTTAGAGTGAGTATAAGTTTATAACAAAATACTACAAAAGAATCACTTATAATCCACATCTGCATCTTCTTACCATTTGGTCATTGGAAAACATTTGTATCATGATCATTTTGTATTTGTCGAACATCATCTTGACACCATGCCATATGGTAAAAAATATCACTTATAATCGTACAGTTGGCATAGTACCACTAAACTCATACTTTGTGTATGAATAAAACCACTGGAAGAAACTACAAAAATTAAGCGTGTGGTGATAGCTTCACAACTTCATCCTGAAATCAGACAAAGATAATTCCTCAACCAAATTCTAACAATAAAGAGGAATCAAAAGATTATAAAAAGGTTAATGCTTACATTTAGTATGAAGAGAAGAGCCATGATTGATGGTTTGCATAGCCATATCCAGTCAAGCATAAAAAAATTCTGCTATAGCTGTTGCGCCATATAAATCTAATTGATGATCCAAACACACATTTTATATTTTGATCCAAACATAATTTCTAATGACACAACATGGTTAAGCCGATTTTGATATTAATAGGACCAGATTTTTGTGTCCAATGTCGGCCTATAATTTGTGTGTTGTCTAGGGTCCATAATATGGCAAATTAAGTACTACCGTCTCAATTAGTCGGAACACAAATTAAACGTATGCTAAAAAATGCAATCACATACAAATGGATACACAAATTTAACCAAACGATTAAAAATGCAAACTCAAACGTAAGCAAGGGCACTATACATTATATAGCTTAACCCTCCTCTGTAAACCTTACAATTGCTTTGCAAATTATTGAAATCAACCCACCTTCAAGAAAAAAAACAAGTCGGCACTATTGACGCAAATCATTTGCCATTTTCGATGTAATAAGTAGGATCAAAACTAATCAACTTCTTCTTAGAAAAATCTTTGTACGCTTCTTCTATGAGTTCATCGTCGTCCCATTCATCACGGTAAGTTTCTGGATGGGCGACAAGTCTGAGGTATCCGCCGTCAACTTCTTGACCTCTCCAACGTTCAACGAGTTCACAACCACATTCTTCCGCGACCCAATTGAGGTACTCGCTCTGTGAGAGATAAGTTTTCTTAAAAGAAGTTAATGATATGACACTACAAGAAAACATGTGATATTCCAACAGATGCTTCCAATAATCGTATTTTGTTGAAAATTTCTAACCGATATTCTATAAAATTGCAACAAATATTTTATTTATTGAAAATTTATTGCAAATTTCCAATAAATTTTGGTTATGATAAATTTGTCACAAACGTCGTAGGAAAATTGTTGGAATTTTCCAACAAATATGATATTGTTGCAAATTAGCAATAATTATGATATTGTTCATGAGTCAATAATATGCCTTTGATTGTTTGTTTACATTTAAGCTTAATTTCATACTAAGTGTATAAAAATAATCCACAACTTTAAGCAATTCACTAATTAAAATCTTTCAGCATAGTAAATCTGAAAAAGGTTTTTATTGGGCTAAATAGTCCTTTTTCATGTTTAATGATGATTTATTTGACGATTTGGCCATGAGCTCGTGAATAGAGTTCGACCTAATCGTCTAGTAAACATTTATTAAACATGAAAAGGGCTAATTAAGTCCATTTAGCCCAATAGTTTTATAATTAAAACAAGTCAATTTTGTTTTTAATATTCTTTTTTCCAAATGCAAACATAAATATAGAAATCGATGTTTGAAACAGTCTCAATGTATATGAGACATGTAGCCATATTCGGAATATTACGAACTTACCTGAATTCTACCTATCGTATGCGTATGTCTCTTGGGAATACCTAACGCATCAAGGGATGCATACCAAGCATTAATATCTTCTATCATTTTTTCTGGTGAAGGAAGTGTAACACGTCCTGACAAGACTGCTGAAACCCATTTGCTTTGGATTTCAAACATAACAAATACTATCCCCTGAATATAAAAAGAAAATCAAAGATCAAAACTAAGTGAAACGTGAAATCGAAATCCCAAAACATAGATTTCGATTGAGACTTAACCATTGCTGGTACACCAACGAAAGAAAGTCCGGGGGCGAGCGCGGGTGGAAAGACATGCTTGTATAGAGGTTCAACGCGTTTTTCATCAATGCGCAAATAGCCATTGGTTTCAAGAAATGGAAAGTTATATTTGTACCTACACACATAGACCAAAAACAAAAGGACATTTCAGATTTAAAATCTTGCTATCTTTGAGCATAAAAATACTGATAACAACGAATATACCCAGTGCAGTACACAATGCTATCAGCAAATACCACTTTCCCGTTTTTGAAAACAATCGACCCATCATCATGGGCTGTGTCGATCTACGATATATCAAAGGAGAAAATCAAATACTTCAACTTTATATTTGGTTTTAAATGAAATTTCCATGAACGTTTCATTGTTCGACTAAATAAAGTTGAAGTTTAGTTTAAGTTTACTTCGGAATGCATCCATAGATTGTTCTGGGGAACGGAAATCTTCTCGTATGTGTGGGGTTCCTTTGCTCTAGACGCAATGTGGACTTCTTTCGCGACCTTAGCTATGTCCCTACTAATATCGGCACCACTCGCAAAATTTCCAATCACCACCACTACCTGCCAAAAATATCAATGCAAAAATGCAGATCGTAAATAAATTTATGAATATAGAATTAGCCCGAACATTTCTAACAAAAAACCTTGTTTGAGGGTATTAGATATATACACTTTATACTGTATAGATATACATATACTTGTTGACAAGTGCTTGTTTATATATCTAATAGAGAGGCGACTATGTAGACAAGTGCTTGTTTATATACGAGTATAGGTAATAAGTAAAACAACATGGATTTTTTTTTTTTTTTTTTTTTTTGTTAAAAGGCCAACAACAAGGAAATTTGTCGACCAAAAATGCGTTTACTTCATAGAAAGTTTTTCTTAACCGAAATTGATTTGGTGTAAAACAGATTAATAAACCATCAACCAGATTGGTTCTCGGAATACCTTCTTTGAAAAATTAAAAATAAAATTTATTACCTCGTTTTCGAATGGATCAGGAACTCTGTAGTTGTGGCTATGGATCTGCTTTCCTGGCCACGATTTAATACCTAAAGATAAACAGTTTTTTGTTAAAGCGTTTTCTTGAATTTGAAAAATTTATATAGAAGAAAGTGTCACTGCAATAGAAATTGATTCATATTTCTAATCAGAAAGATTAATCCCATTTCTAATCACTGACTGTGTGACCTACACTTTTTTTTAACTATTTTTTTTTTTATAATCTGATTGTGTGGCCTAAACTTTAAAATTAATTTATAAAATGCACAAAACTTTTACATGGTTATAAAAAACAAGGTGAGAAAACTAATTTGTTTTAAAATTAATTATTTATAAACTGATATTTACCAGGAATATGAGTAATGTTTGGTTCTGTATAATGTCCATTGCAAACCACGACGGCGTCATAGATCTCATCTTTCAAGAAACCGCCGGATTTTTTGGACTGGACCCTCCATTTCCCGTCAACCGGTTCAACCCGAACCACCTCGGTCTCGAACCGGATCATCTCCTCTATTTTAAACTCTCTAGCAAAGTCTTGAATATACGCAAGAACTTCCCTGTGATTTGGATACCGTCTCGGGTCTCTTGACTCGTCATCGAAACGTGGCAAAAACGGGAAGTCCCTGACACCCATACTTTCTCTCGGGACATTGGTTCGGAGAGACTCGTAGATGCTAGAGTGGACTTTGGATCGGGTCGGGTCAAGGCTTAGTGGGTCGGAATCGGATTTAGGTGTGTAAACCCAGAGACCACCAACTTGTTTCTCCCGTTCATACACAACGACACTGTGACCTTCACGACGGAGCTCCCTAGACGTTATGATACCGGCTGCTCCGGCTCCGATCACTGCCACGTGTTTAGAAGTGATTGGGTTTTGTGCTGGTGCCATTTATGTCCAATTTCAATAATGGTAGGTTTGTGTATAAAAAGCACCAGCGTCAAGCAACATATAAATACCACATTCTCACCAATATAATATTATTCTTTTTAGTTTATTTTAGTGTTAAAAGAGTCATGCATAATGGAACTTATAAGATAGATCATTTTATTTTGTGATATATTATTAACTTTTTAAACTATTATGGATTTGAATTATCATAAATATGAACAATTTATAAAGAAATATGTGTCTTATGTGGCAGCTACATTAGAGCATCCATAGTTATGTGGCAGCTACATTAGAGCATCTATAGTGGGAGGCTCTCACCAAATCTCTCACCAATATTAAAAGAAAAATAATAAAAAGAAGGAGAGAGAAGATAATCTATTCTCATTTGAGAACAATTGAGAATCTCTCTAGAGACTTCTCTCCTACATGTCAAAATCACATTGGTTTTATCTTTGTCTTTTTATTTTTTTATTTTAAATAATAATTAAATTATATTAAAAGTATTATAATAATATATTTTAGAGACTCATAGAATCTCTACAACTGTGGATGCTCTTAAAAGTTCTTAAAAGGCTTTCAAAGGAGATCCTCAGCTTCTGATGTGCCATCGAAGTCAGATCTCTTTTTTCGGCATTGTCACTAAATTTTTTCGGCCTTTTTTGTAACTGTTTAGCCAGATGAACAAAAACCGAAAACCCAATTTAGGATAATTATTAATATAAGTTTATTTGAAAAGAAAAAAAAATTAAAATTAAAATGTCTAGTTTGTTAATTAGTCCTTATTTATATAATGTTGTAGACACATTAGTAAAAAGAAGAAAGTTAATTTACTTATTACACATTAGTAAAATAGACACATTAGACAAACTAGTGAAATACTCCCTCTGTTCCTAAAAGATTGATGTTTTAGCTTTTGTTGTTTGTTTTACCAAGATTGATTTTCTAGCAATTTTATTTTATTTTTATTGACTTATAATAGTAAATTGTAAACTTCAAGATACAATGATTATAAATCATTAACTTTCTTAGACTACTATTGGTTGATAATTATTAAAAATATTTAAAATTAAAAAACAATGTTAAAATGATCAAAGAATGATTGAGTTCTTAATATGTGTAACAACTCCAAAACATCAAATTATTAGGAAGAGAAGGAGTAGGTTGGAGGAGAAAGAGAAAACACGTGTGGAATTTGTAAGGTAGGAATCTTGGTGGAGATGCGACAGCACGTAATTGTCTACAGTAAATTTTTTGTGAACAAAGAAAAAAGACAATCCTTGGAAAGTAATGGATTACATACATCGTTCGTTGATAAAGAAAGTTCATACCTCGTTGATTACATACATCATTTTCTTTTATTAAAATCATTACTCATTAGATTTCATTGTTTGTTACCATTATCATTTGCTCGCTCTATGAAAAATTTCAAAAATCAACGTATACATATTCAAGTTTCTATAAGTCCATTTACAAAATGGAAATCAATGAAAAAAAAATGTGTTTATAATCATAGGAAAGAGGGAAATAAAAATCCAGGAATGTACCTTAAAAATTTGGCACCAAAAGAAAAAGATAGAGAGAAGAAATTGAAGACATGAAAAGGTTATAACACCTGAACTACTAATTAGTATTACTAACATCTCTCTTGCTCTAGCTCTCGCTTTCTCTTTCTCAACTAAGAGCTCAATTATTTGCCGCTCTATCCAAAGAACTTTGAGCTGTATATTTGTAAAGCCTACACAAAGAGATGCAATGGATAACGGTTTAAAGATGACACGATTGAAGCGTAGGCTAAATCATGCTATGTCACAATTCCTAATTAGCTTTATGGTTTTAGTAGATGTTCTGCGTTTGGACTATGGAGTAACCAACTTTTCTTCAACTAATAGACACAGAAATACTGAAATACAAAGGGTCGGATCGTTTGGTTAATTGGTACGATGCTATATGTGATTACATGATCCATGTGATTTCTGCGTTAACTTTTTTTTTACAGTAATTATAGTTTACTATTTAGCATGGGAAAGTCTTTTCATTTTAGTTCTGGCACGTTGAATGTAATTCACCTGTTTTCCTACCCAACTCAATCATACAAAAATCAATGTATGGTTGTCACAAATAAACGTCCCACAAATACATGGCAACATATTAATCATATATAGCTAGGAGATCCAACAATAAAATTGTCCTATATCAACTATAGGGATCCTGGTTTATTCAGGTAAATTAACTTGTGTAAAAATATATATTTGTAAAACATATTAACATTCAACTAGTAAATTTTATGACTTTATAAACTACGATCATGACAAAATAGAAAGTATATTTAGCAAACATAATTATGTTAGACATAATCAATTAATAAAATTATAACTATATTTTGAACTTCGACAGCTGGTGCATCATTGGTAAAAAATGGTATTCTGCAAATTTCCGGCCAAAATCGTCATTTACAGTTTGGCGAAAAATACAATTCGACAAAAACAATTTTGATGGAAAACATTATTTTTTTTTTTGGGTAAAAAAACTATAATTTTGACGAAAACTGATAGTGAAACAACCTGACCCGTTTTTTTTTTAATTAATTAATTAAAAAAAAACGGGTCCGGTTGTTTCAGATAGTATGTGATTTTACAAATTTTGATGCAAATATGTACTTTAAAAAAAAATGAGAAATCTATAAAATAAAATTAATATTATTTGATACTCCTTCTGTCCCAAATTATAGGATGTTTTAGCATTTTTTCTTGTTCCATTTTATAAGATTTTTCCAGATTTCTATGTAATAATTTATGTTTATTTAGTATGTTATTCTGTAGTCTTTTTTTCTATTGGTTGAATTCCTATAAAAAAGTAAACATTAATTATTCCTTAATCTTTGTGCTTTTAGACAAAACATCTTATAAAATAGGACAGAGGGAGTATATGATTGTAAATGAGGGTATTTTAGACATTTAGAAATTTTGGAAGAATAATCTACATCTCAATGAACCAATTAAACTCATCTAGATTTTTTAATTTGGTCCATTGTATGATGATGTGTTTTATTGCACTGAACAAATATCATTTATCATCTACATCAAGATGGTCCATCTAGATGAACAAACAAACAACATCATTAGCTCATCTGATCCTCGTGAATGTCGAGCCAAAGGTCTCGATGAGAAGTCAGTGGTGTCATATTGACATCACTGAACTTATATGAACTCTTGTGTCAGTTGTGTGCTCGTCGTCTTTTCTCTCATTTCTCGTGTCCGTCAGTTTCTAGACATTCTATTCTCTTTTATTTAATTTTTGATAAGAAAATAGTTCTGTTTTATTTCGTGTGTTATCTTCTAGTTCGAATCAAACTACCAAGACTTGGGTTATTTCGGTTTTAAGGTAGAAAAAATGTTACATCTTTGCTCTAAATCTTACAAAAACAAATGATAATACAGTATAACACATATATTTTTAAACTAGAAAAAATATTTGTGTAGACTTCAAATGTACACAGTAAAAATCTTGTTTTTTTTATTCTGCATTTAAACGCAAAAGCAAACTTAAAATGACAATTAATGTAGACTTCCGATTAACATAAAGTACCAAAACAAAACCAAACGCAAATGCAAACAAATAGAAACAATATACAAAAACAAAAGCAAACGCAAAGAAAAATAACAATAAGGGCATCATGCCTTAGAGGTAATCCTCTTATGCAAAACATTTGATAGTTTTACAATATAATTAATCATTCAACCCTGAAAAGAAGATAATCCATCCTTACTTCCTTATGCTTCTCAAAATCAACCCGCCCACCCCCAAAATAAAAACTCAAAAAAATCATCCTCTTGGTTCAAGGAAATGGGAAGGATGAGAACTAATTAACTTATTCCTACCAAATTCCTCGTAAGCTTCTTCCATAAGATCATTGTCGTCCCATTCATCGCGATAAGTTTCTGGTTGGGAGACAAGTCTCTCGTATCCGCGGACGATTTGTTGATTTCTCCAATGTTCAACGAGCGGACACCCACATTCTTCCGCGATCCAATTCAGGTATTCAGACTGCAAAAAGAAATAAATTTTCTCAAAAAGTCATCGACGATGTTATTCTTAAGTCAATAATATGTATTTGATTGTTTGATTTAATATTAGTGTACTTCTTGAAAAAAATTCATCAATAGCATTCAGCAAACAATTTTAAAATTCTTAAAAATTCTTTGTTATTGTATATCCAAAAAGTCAAATCGTACAAGGATTCAAAGCCTTCCGTTTGCATAAACTTAAAAAGGCTTTATAATAAGATGTGAAGTATGTTTTTGAATTCTTTTTCTACATGTAAACGTGAAACAAAAATAGAACGGACTCACCTGAATTTTACCCAATTTATGTGTATATCTTTTCGGAAGACCTAACGCATGAAGCGATGCATACCACGAATTAATGTCTTCTACCATCTTATCTTGTGAGGGAAGTTTAACCCGTCCTGCTAAGACTGCTGCCACCCATTTGCTTTGGATTTCAAACATAACAAACTGTATGCCCTGACAAAAAAAAAAGTTTAAAGATCAAAAACAAAGTGAGAATTGAACTCGAAACCCGAAGATACAATTTTTTTTTGAGACTAACCATCGCTGGTAAACCAATGAAAGAAAGGCCAGGGGCAAGCGCGGGCGGAAAAACATGCTTGTATAGAGGATCAATGCGGTTTTCATCAATGCTCATATAGCCATTGGTTTCAAGAAAAGGGAAGTGATACTTGTATCTACACCGACCATACGGTAAATCAGTAGCATATTTCACATTTAAAATGTTGCTACCTATGAGCATAAATACCAAAAACAACAAATATATACCCAGTGCAATACACAATGCTATCAGCATATACCACCTTCCCGTTTTTAAAAACAATTGACCCATCTTCATGGGCGCTGTCTATCTACAATATATCAAAGGAAAAGTTTCAAATACTTTCCTTGGTTAATTGGCTTTAAGATGAAATCTCATGTATATGAGAATTAACATTATGGTTAAATAAAATAAAATGGTATGTTTTACCTCGGAATGAATCCATAGGTTGTTATGAGGCA